TCTCAAGAGATACATGTTGGGGGCGCCAAACGGCAATTCTAGCTGAGACGTCCCACCAAAATCGGCGCGAACGGGCTCGTGAGATCAGCCAGGGTGGCTCCCCCTTGGGGCTCCCAAATGATGCCCCTGGCAGCGTTTTGTGATCATGAGAGAGTGCGAGTGTGAGCTTAACTTATCTTATCTTATCTTGAAATCTCTTCTTATCATATCCTGTGCGATTCTTGTATTACCTTATCTTATATTGTAGTATCTTATCTGGTCTTATATCTTGTATTATCCTATCTTATATTGTAGTATCTTATATTGTCTTATCTTATCTGGTAATTATCAGTGGGAGGAGGGAGGCGGGAGGCGGGAGGAAGAAGGAGGAGGAGGAGTGGGAGGCGTCAGAGTAATAACAAGAACCCCAATCCTTAGGATATGGGGAATAAAAGGATTCCCCATACGTCCCCATATGTTCTGTGTTATTGTCTTCCCCCACACTTTCCGTATTTTCCGGTATTTTCTGCGGAATCGACGATTAATTGTGTCTGTGCTTTTTCCTCCCTGATCTTCGACCCAATTGATGTTGCCGCTTGTGGTTTCGTATCCGTGTTCGCTGGACTGAGTGGTGGTGTCGTTTCTAGCGTCGTTGTTGGAAGTGTCGGCGTTGTCTGGTTGGTCTCTAATCGCGTTGTCTGCACACTGTTGTCGGCGTCGCTTCGTTCCAAGTATCATCCGCAGCATGCGTCGTTCCGTTCTTTGCAAGCGATTCTCCAAATCGGATGTGAGCGTCCAGGCTTTACACCCGAATGAAACCGCTCGTGCTTCGCATACATGAAACAAGCTTAATCTGTCGTGAAAGGAACAATCCTGACGTGATACTTCCTGCTGGACGGAAGAGAACCTCTTCCAGGCGGTGGCAATCCGGCTGTCCAGATCGACGCCGTGGGGATTCGAGAACTGGTTTTTGCGCCCAAGGTATTTGCAAGATCGGTCATCAGTCCATCCGCCTGCATGTGTTGCGGGGGGCGGCATCGACGAGAATGTCCGCGGCCGTTGTGTAGTACGTTGGTCTTGTCGGGATGCAGGGTAGGTCCGACGCAGTGCGCCTCCACGCTTAAGGTTGCATGCGTTGTTCCGATGCCGGACGAAGATGTTGCGACGAAGAACAAGTCATCAACAAACCTCAAGTTGTCCAGTCGGCAGGAATGGCCAGGATGAAATCGTACTCCAAGGTTGCGTTGGTTCCAATTCGTTGTGAATTTCCGCATCATGGATTCCGTGACGCAGTTGACCAACATAGATGAGAGCGGGTCTCCTTGCATCATCCCCTTTTGTACGCTGAATGGCTTGCTGGTGTTGTCCATCTTGATGCTGGCCGTCTGATCGCGGTACATCTTGTCGAGCAGATGTACGTGGCACTCCGGGACACTTTGCTCAGTAAGTGCTCGCCAGATGCTGATGTGGGTGATACTGTCGAAGGCCATTTTGAAATCAACTGCGGTGATCAAAAGGGGGGTCTGCCATTAGTAGGCTGTGTCCTGCAACAATGAGATAAGAAATACATTGTCCACCGTACTTCTCGCTGGTCTGGAATCTCCCTGGTCGTTGCTCTGCTGTGAGTCGAGTGTAGGGAGTAGCCGGTTGTACAAGAGATTGGAACCGTTGCAGTTGGGCGGCAATTCTGTAGAAGTCGCGGGTCACCGCTGATGTGGAGGACTCTGATTACAATATGCTTCCAAATTTCCAGCGTCGGCGCATCTATCTTGATAGTGTCGCAGAAGAGAACCAACAAAGCCTTTCGTAGATTGTCTCCGCCTTCATTCAGCATTTCAGCGACGATGCCCTTGGTGTCTAAGGCCTTCTTTGTCTTGAGTTGCTTGATTGCCACACTGAACTCCTCCATTGTGAACGCTGGTATTGTTACCGGGCATGCTGCCCGCAATTGCTCGCGATAAGAACGTTCCGACTTGTTTGCGTCGCTGTACAAAACATCATTACACATCAACAGATATATCTGCAATGTATGGTCTGTCGTGTGGACTCTCGCCGATGCTCGGGATTGGGACCTTTTTGTTCGTGCGGCGTCGGCGCGCGCAAAGGTTTTTGACACCTCGTCGACCCTTCAATCCTGTACCGGTCGCGGCCCCGACCGTGCACGGTTCCATCCCGTCGGATCCTGTTGTTGAAGGGGCCCCAGGACACACAAACAAATACATACAAATAAAAGTATTCCCCATATTTTCTCATATTTTCTGGGTTTCTGTCTTCCCCACCACTTCCCATATTTTCCCATAATTTTTCCTGGGAGTCGACGATTCATTGTGTCCGTGTGTTTTTTTCCCTCCTGATATCGTGCGGGATTCCGCCGCGAACGCCTCAGCAGGCGTCGCCGGCGCGCCATCGCCGCGAGGACCTGCCGCGCGCGGCTTCCCTCCCGAGCCGGGGGTGCCCCGGGCGCCGCCTGGAAGGCGACGAGGGCGGCGACCACGGAGGCGCAGCCCCCCTCGGCGGCGACCTGCCGGGGGGGGGGGGGGGGGGGGTCGCGCTGCCCTGCTGCGCCTCTGTGAAGGGGAATTGGGAAACACAAATAAATACACACAAATAAAATTGTTTCCCATATTTTCCCATATTTTCTTGTTTTTTGTCTTCCAGCCCACTTCCCATATTTTCCCATATTTTCCGGGGAATCGACGATTAATTGTGTCTGTGTGTTTTTTCCCCTCCTGACTCTGGCACGGCGCAGCGCGGGGGGGGGGGCCAGGGTGCCGCATGCGAGCCCTACCCCTGCCCCCCACGATTTCTGAGGGGGAGGGTGGGGTGCACTTCGCTGGGAAGCTCCCGAACGAAGCGAACCCCACCCTCCCTCGCAGAAATCGTGGGGGGTAGGGGTAGGTTCGCATGTGGCCCCCTGGGCGGGGGTCCCGGCGGCGGCGCTTCTCAGAGAGCGGCAGCGGGGCTTCTCGGAGAGCGGCGGGGCTTCTCGGAAGCCCTTGCGCCCTCCGAGCAGGTCCTGTGGGCCTTCTTCATGAAGACACCGGACACGCATATAAATCGGCACACACATCCCAGGGCTCACTATCTTTTTCCAGATTTCCTGGAGTGTAGCTTGCCCCACCACTTCCCATAGGTTCCCTTCTTGTTCATGGGATCGACGAATAATTTATGTTTGTGGTTTCTCCCTCCTGACCCATGAGGGCACCGAACAATTCAGAGGACCCCACTTCAGATGTTCTTAAAACGCTGGGGGCGTTTCTTGTCACTTTTCGTGTTGAGGTCGACCAACACGTTAAAGACACGGCAATCCAAAACAGAACAGAAAAGAGAACGGCCGGGCCCAAAACGAACGAAAAACGGAAACCCAAAACAGAAGAAACAAAAACGGCAACGCCAAACAGAAACCGACAGAAACCAACAACTGCAACTAAAAACAATTAGAAAACGGATTGCACAACGAACGGAAAACGGCGAGACGGCCATCCCGAAAGGAGGAAAAAAAACGCTCCCAAACCAGAAACAGAAACGTCGATCTTGAAAAAGGGAAGAAGACGCCCCCAGCGTTTTCAAGAGGATCTAAACTCACAGCAACGGCTAGCCGCACCGGCCGCTCACGCCGAAGACCTTCGTGCTGTGGAGGCCCTCCTTCTCTCCTCCTGTTCCGCGGCCGCTCTCTGCCCTGCCCATTTTTTCTGCAGTCGGACAGCTGGTACGCTCTGCCCTAGCTACTGGAGCCCGCGAGCGGATTGCCTCTGCCGCGCCGCGACGAACAACAATGGTGGGCTCGTTTTCCGTTGCCATCACCGTAAGTAGGAGGGGGAAGGGGTCCTCCTCCTCCTCCTCCTCCTCCTCCTCCTCCACTTCCTCTTCATCAACCTCCACCTCCTTCCCCCCTCCAACTTCTGGTGGTGGTGGTGGTTGACAGGCCCATCAAACAAGAGTCCCGTCCTGATCCACGAGGACGCCGGACACCCTTCAGAAGGCAGGGCGGGCAGAGCCCCCGCCCCCTCCCCGGAAGGCCTGCCCCCCAGGCGCTCCCGACGTCGTGCCTTCTTCGCGACCTCGGCCCCTGGCTGCCTGGACCCAGTACCCGGGCTCGGGCTCTCCACGCCGAGAGCCGGTGTTCAGCGGCCCGCCGGGGGGAGGAGGAGGGAGGAGGCTGCTTCTTTGTAGAGGCGCCGGCAGCTGCAGGCAGGGCCCGCGCCTTCTAAGGAGCAGGGTGCTTCTGAGGAGCCTTCCCCCCCCTCCTGCGCCCGGCTGCGCGTGGCCGACCGCATCCTGGCCCGTTTCCTCGAGGCGGATCCGGCCGTTTGCCGAGCTCTCGTGGACGGCCCCCAGGAGGCCGGGGAGGGCCTCCACGGGCCGGCAGCGGCGAACAGCTGTCCGTCGCGATGTCTGCGTGATTCGAAGGGGGCCCTGGCCCTGGCCCCCCGCCGTTTCCCTCTGCCGGGGGCGCGCTGACAGGGTAGTTTCTAATATATATATATATACATATATATATTATATATATATATATATATATATAATATATATAATATATATATATATATAATATATATAATATATATGCATATATATAGCATTCCGCTCTTTTTCATCCAGGCCAGCAGCGATATGTCGTGGCGACAGACCTTCGCCCTGAGAAGGCTGGAGCAAGCGACTCATAAAACACAACCCTCTGGACCGGTCTCAGGGATACTAAACTCCAGAAGAGTGTTACAGGGGATCATAAGCGGGGCGGGCGGGCTCTGGGAGCCTTGAGCCCAAACGGGTAAGGACATTGAGAAAACGGGTCATCCTCACGGATTCAACGGCCATCCTGATCGAACTCCGCTCAACGCTAGAACGAGACCAAGGTGATCTACCAAGCATTGCACTCCGCTCTTTTTCACCCAGGCCAGCAGCGATATGTCGTGGCGACAGACCTTCGCCCTGAGAAGGCTGGATCAAGCGACTCATAAAACACAACCCGCTGGACCGGTCTCAGAGATACTAAATTCCCGATTTGCCGTAGTTACAACTGGAGGCATCGGATTAAAGGTCACAGTAGCCATATATCTCAATTGCAGCCAGGGCGTCTTTAAAGCTATGTGCTAGAGCGTTACACAAGGCACGGGGGTAGGGCTCGGCAATTAAAGTTCGGAAAATACCATTAGACTTTCCGGACAGCTCAACGTGGGGCTTATTACTGTAGCTGCAAATGCCGCGGCCAGTGCAGAGACGAGAGCATCTGGACTAATCTACATGCACACTCACGATCCTGGTTCGTTTGCGCCACGGCATATTGAAACCACAAAAATCGGTTCGGATGCTACGCACGGGGCTGGGGCGGCAGGCGGAAGCCATCGGTGGGCACAACCATATCCTGCTGGTCGAGGGATTCTCCAACGCACATGGTATGATGAGACGAGCACAGAGCCTCAAGACGGACGCCGAGAAGGTCATGAGCACGCTCCCGATTCGAACTTTTTCACGGTCCACGGCCGAGAGATCTGGGAGCCCCAGAGGTTCAGAATCGCTTCTTAGTCGGGGAGGCCCGCCACCCCGATCGCGGGCGCGAGAAAAACTCGAACAAGGAGTCCCCATCCAGACTGCAATAACCTGTGACGCCAACAACCATCCTCGCACACGTTTTTGCACCTTCGGTAACGTTAGATCATACTGCTCACCATGGCGAATGTCAAATTCAATGATAGGCAACCCAACATGCCGTCTCCAAGCAGCTGAGAAATTTCCAGTCCATGAAAAAAAGCTCAATAGCGAACCACACATCAATGTAGTTGGCCCTCAAGAACGGCAGGACCTGCTCATGATGGCGCCAATCTCGGAGGCGCACTTTGCCGCTGCGAGCTGAGCGCCGTGCGGCAGGTAGTGCAACTGCTCCGTCAGACGACCTGCCTTCTGGTAGCGGCGCATCGAGCTTGGCTGGGCCCACCCGCCGCGGTGCTGCACGCCTAGCGGGCTCCGACGGCCGAGGCTGATGTCGAGGCTTGCGCCCGCGCGTCGGAGCCCGTGCAGCGTCGGTGGTCCCAAGTCCTGGAGGCCCAGCGCCAGCCCGCCCTTCCTGTACTCGTTTCGCCACTGCTGGTAGGTGAACTCGAACAGAGGGGCGTCTGGACCGCTTGCCTGGCGCCACAGGGCCTCCAGCGGCGGGGCCATGAAGTCGCGATCTGGCAGGTCCAGCGGCCGCGAGTCGTCCCACTTGTTGACCTTCGACGGCTGCCCGAGCTCCATCGGGTGGAGGATCACCGTCCACCTTGAATGGTTATTGCCTCCGCTTGGCAGCGGCGGCGCCAGCTGGCAGCGGCGCAGACTGAGGGCCTCGCTCGGCCTCAGGTAGAACACCACGCACATCAGCACCGCCACCGCCATGGACCACTGGTCGCTGCGGACCAGCCAGTCGCACAACAGGCAGACCACCTCCCACGGCGTCGGCAGCCGCGACATGCTAGGGCACTTCAGACTCCACCCCCGGAGAGCCTGGCGGGCAGCCGCCAGATGGGCTCCCTTCTGACGTCCCCACTGTGGGTTGAAGTAGCAGGCCGCCGACGCCAGGCGCGAGCCCAGGCTGGAGTGCGCCCCCTCGAAGTACTGGTAGTCGAAGAAGTCCACGAGCGCGTCGTCGACCTGCTTCTCCGACTGGAGGGGGAGGAGGCGGCACCGTGCCCAGTCCTCGAAGCTCTGCCAGCGCTCCAGGTGCAGCTGCTGGGTGCGCGGCCGGACGCTGGCCGCCTGGAGGTAGCTCAGCCTCGCCAGCTCCGGCGCCCTCGTAGCAGCCGAGCCCCGGCGGGCAACCGCGCGAGCAGCGGCACGTCGGGCCTGCGGCTGCGCCCGGCGCCGCGCCGGCGCCAGCGGCCCGACCCCTTCCAGCGTGGTCCCTCGGCAGGGCCGCGACGGACGCCGACCCCCTCTTGCCTCGAAGGGCCGGGTCTCGCGCTCGCGGCCTGCCAGTGTGGGCCGACGCCTTCCGGGGCAGCCAGGGCAGCGGCTGTGCTGCCGCCCCGTGGACCTCGGCCGAGGTCGGGGCACGCGGCAGTGTTGCCAGCTCCACGCCTGGCGACGGCGGCCGGCGGCAGTAGCCCCTGTGGGGGTGGGGGTGGGGGTGGGGGTGGGTGTGTGTGTGTGTGTGTGTGTGTGTGTGTGTGTGTGTGTGTGTGTGTGCGTGTGCGTGTGCGTGGGGGCATCAGCAGGGTTCCCCTCGCTCGAGATCCACCTCAGGTAGACGGAGCATCCCGACACAAGCGCCAGGGCAGCCCAGCGCTGGACAACTCGGAGCATCCCGGGCGCGGACGTTCGGCCCTTGCTCAGAGCCAGAACGGCCGACATCGAGTCGCTGAGGATGAGAACACGTTTATGCCATGTCTGGCTGTTCCGTAGCATGTGTCGAAGTCCCCATAGGGCAGCTCTGGTCTCCAGAACAGGAATACTCTCAGCACGATCCCAAGCTTGCGACCTCACTGTCCTCCAAGGGCCTCCGACAAGGGACCGAGGCACGAGGTCGACCCCCCGCTCCAGCCGGGC